AAAAAAAAAAAAAAAAAAAAAACAATCTGCTCTGTTTTGTTTTGCATAAGAAGAGTAGTACAGAGGAAATCGCATTCCAAAGAAAAGCTAAAAAACGCACCCCCAGGAAAAGTCCGTAGAGATACCATGCTTCGGCGTTATTTGCGAAATGCGCACGATCCAGAAGATGTTCCATGTATTTTTGGGCATGCGCAATGCAATCAATAGAATGATAAGCACGTGCAACATCCAAATATAATTGCTCATCTTGTACACTTATTGGCCTTTCAAAAAGTTTATCGACGAGAGCCTGGAAATTTTACATTATGAATTATTCAGTACATAAACACATACATAATAAATAACCGGTCAACGCACGGGCTGCCCGTCCGAAGATAAGTTTTTTGCATAATTCCCCGCAGTTTTTGTCACTACCGGTACCAGTTTTTTCGGTAAATGCTTCTAGCTAAACAAATTAAGACTGGCCGTCAGAGCTGCCGGGAAACACCCCTTTAAAATTCCAGCTTTCTAGTTCTCCTGGCTCCTGAGTTAGCAACATACTGGAAAAAACTTTCACGGGCTGCACGTGGGTAACACATCCCCGATTTCTGGGTTTGAGCCCGTTGACTTGGACGAGAATATTCTCTTAAAACTACAATCTTCTAGCTTTTCAGGTTCTCGAGTTAGCAACTTACCCGAGAAAAACTTTGGCGGGCCTGTACCTAGGTACCACGCTTATCCGGGGGATGGGTTTGAGCCCATTAATACCTATTTGGACGGAGAACATCCCTTTAAGATTTCAGCATTCTAACTTCTCAGGTCCCCGAGTTATGAACTGACCTCAAAAAAACTTTGGCGGGCCCGTACGCGGGTACCACGCTTACCTGAGGGTTGTGTTTGAGCTCATTAATACCTACTTGGACAGGGAACATCTTAAGATATCAGCTTTCCAGCTTCTCGGATCCCCGAGTTATCAACTTACCCGTAAAAAACTTTGGCGAGCCCGTACGCGGGTACCACGCGGGTAATGGCGCCCATTTTGGGGATTGGGGCCCGAACGTGCATGTAGATTAAGTCCCCAAAGTTCCAGCCGTGCAGCTTTTGTAGGTCTTGAGATGAAAAACCGTGACAGACGCACACACAGACATACACAGAATATGCGTCTTCTGCATTGCATAGCTGCAAAAAACGCATAACAAGCAAAAACGCCATGATTAAACACGAAATAAACACAGTAAACACAACTAAATAAACACCTTGAAAATACATAAAAAAACACAACTGCGCCTGCAAACATATTTGACAATCGCACTGGCAATTTTAGCTAGCGTGAGGAGGACTGTTGACGGAGGCGCAGCCAGCTTTCAAAAGTGCTCAGAAAAAAAGTCCACAAAAAAGAGATCTGAAGGGGATCTTTTCTGGATCAACTGTATTTACTACTTCTACTGAACCACCATATTCAGGCACAATGTATAAGGAAATTAATTCTGTCAATTTCCTCGTCGAAATTTCCTTAATTAGCAAATGATTTAAAATTATTGCTGTACCCAAGATTTGATGAGGGGGTTCGCGATCGAATGTATAAAAACAGTTCGGACGAGCCGGATACCGAATGGCGAAAGTAACACTAACGCTTCACTTGTAAAAAAGAATAAGAATGTTGCCATGATCCTCTGTCCAACAAGAAATGCTTACCGGAGCGAGATTCTTGCGACCCAGCCTAATGAAGCATATAATCAGCCGGATAAGAAGAACATTGGGCAAACTTTCGCCGATCACAAAACGACGCACTCGTTCAGGAGGGAATGGCTTCACCGTGTAACTCGCATTGGTATATTTTATCTGAAGAACAGAGTTCTAAATTTAAACGATATTCTGCGCTACTAGCCACCCATTTCAGCCCTTCAAAAAAGTTCACCCGAACTACGGTACGGCTGTAAGAATTCTTGAATTACATTCAGGCGATGTCCACAACTTGCCTTCAATCTCCCCTCTCCACCCCCCCCCCTTATTCCTAACTCCCAGCATAAAATACGCACACGTTTTAACGGAAGCCCCCAAACGGTGACAACTCATTTCAAATTTTAGTCCTTCGCAAAACAATTAAGGCTACAAATGAATTTGAACAAACGACGTTGCTAGTAACGCAAGTGTTTTACTCATCGAAAACTTTTGCCATATATTTTTTTAAAAAAATCACCTGCATCGCGAACTTGTCGTCATCGTCGATGGCTGTGATTCCTGGGCAAAGCGCGAAAATCGACTTCGCCGCATCTTCAAATCGATGACTGTTCATCAACAAACCTGCAATGCTTCGTTTTAAAATAATCAGAAATTCTTTCTTCCCCTTCCTCCAGCTCTCCAAACAACCGCTTTTTAAAAATGCTAGTGCAAAATACTATCCACCTTTCAAACTTTACCCACTGGTAAAAACAAGAGATATACGACTCACGAATCTGTTTAAATGGTGACGATATCTACTACGAATATTTCAAATTTCTCAAGCAATTCAAGAAAAGACGAAATTGCCCTGCTGGTGGCTAGTAGAAATATTCAAGTCATAAACAAGCAGCTTCGAAGAAATTTTCTGTGCATTTCTGCAAAAAATTTGGGAGCATAAATTGGCTTACGGATGACAGTTTTGTGTTGTTCCGAGGCATCGCGACCGTATTCGTGACTACGCAAAACGTAAGTTTCCAGAATATTCACTGCTTTCTCTTCGTCATTTATTTTTATGTAATGGTCTGCCGCCTAAAAAAAAAAAAAAATTGGCCAACGCACGGGCTGCCCGTGCGAAGATGCGTTTTTTGCAAAGTTCCCCGCA